TGTGATACTATGGAAATTACAGCTAATGTTAGATGGCTCTTTGCTGATAACAGACAGTACCAGAGGAATGTCTATCGGTATTTCATCGAGTATGCAAAGGCATTTGACTGTGTGGAGCACAACAAACTGTGGCTGACTCCGAGAAGAATGGGAATACCAGAACCCTTGATTGTGCTTATGTGAAACCTATACTTGGACCAGGAGGCAGTCATCAGAATAGAACAGAGAAACGCTGTGTGGTTCAAAATTGGGAAGAGTGTACACCAGGGATGTGTCCTATCTCCATACCTTTTCAATCTATATGCAGAGCAATTATCCAGGAGGCTGTAGGAACGTGGCATCAGGATTGGAGGAAGATTCATCAACAACATGTGTTATGGAGATGACACAACCCTATTTGCTGAAACTGAGGAGGACCTGAAGCACTTGCTGCAGAAGGTCAAGGACTGGAACCTTAAATATAGATTGAAGCTCAACATCAAGAAAACAAAGATTCTGGGCCAATTGGCAGCACCATGAAAGACAGTGAAGATTGAGATTGTTAACAGCTTTAGTTTTCTTAGCTCCATAATCAACACTCTAGGTACCAGCAGCCAGGAAATCAAAAGACAAATTGCATTGGGAAAATCTGCTTTCAGGGACCTCTCCAGAGTACTTCAGAGCAATAATGCCAGTCCGGAAACTAAGGTGTGCCTGATATAGGCCACAGTCTTTGCAATTACTTGCTATGCATCAGAGTGCTGGACAATGACTAGGGATGAGAGAAAGAGGATGCCTTTGAGCTGTGGTGCTGGAGAAGAATATTAAATATTCCATGGATTGCAGGAAAACAAACAGGTTTGTCCTTGAGAGGGTGAAACTGGACTGCTCCATAGAGGCAAGGATTCTGGAGCTTTCCTGATATACTTTGGGCATGTTGCAAGGAGGGACCAGTCTTTGGAGAGGGACATCATGCTTGGAAAGGTGGAGGGATAGTGCAGGAGAGAAAGACTCTCGATGAGGTAGATTGATTCCGTGACTGGGGTAAGGGGGGTAGGTGTGTCAGAGACAGTAAGGTTGGCACAGGATAGAGCAGGGTTTAGAGCTGTTGTACACAGGGTTGCTATGAATTGCAAGGGATTTGATGGCACATAACAACAATGTGACACAGGAAAATCTGCCCATCTTTCTCTGGCAGAACAGGTGGTGGATTTGAACTGCATGCTTTTGGAATTGCAATGCAGCTCCTTACCACTAGGCCACATAGGGTCCAGCAATACATCTCTTTGTTTTATGAGAACTATGAATTAGAAAGAAGGGATGAAGATAGTACAATAACTGAGAAATGAGTTACAGGAGGTAATGAAAACCATCTGAGAAGACCATGGGATTTGAAGTAGGTAAGTAAGACGGGAAGAAATAGGAAAACAAGTAAGAGTAGCTTATGACAACGCTCTTCCTCTAATTTTAACATATTTTCTCTAAAACATCATCTCCTGCTCATATTTGAACTCCTCTTACAGTTTATTTCTTAAATCATAATAGGTGTAAATTTAAAAGACCATATTTGATACCATGAACTAACAGGAATAAGAGAAGCTAGTTTTGGATATAGCATTAGAAATTATTCTAAGAACTGTTTTTAGCAAAAAAACGATCAGAAAGGGAAAACAAACACAAAACAAAGGAGGGGGAAACACGTAGGGTGGTGACTAAAAAAATATTTTTTTACCAACTAAGGAATGGCAACTGTTGTTGTTGTTATGTGCCATCAAGTCACTTGCAACTCACAGTGACCCTATGTACAAGAGCCTTAAACGCCATTCTATCCTGTGCCAACCTCGCTGTTTCAAACACACTCATTCCCACCACTCCACTCACAGAATCGATTCATCTCATCCAGGGTCTTCCTCTCCTGCGCCGTCCCTCCACTCTCCCAAACATGATGTCCCTCTCCAAGGTTCAGTACCTCCTTGCAACATGCCCAAAGTATGTCAGACGAAGCTTCAGAATCCTTGACTCCAAGGAGCATTCTGGCTTCACCCTCTCCAGGAGAAACCTGTTTGTCTCCTAGCAGTCCATAGTATATTCAACACTCTTCTCAAGCACCACAACTCAAAGGCATCAATTATCTTTCTATCATCCCTATTCACTGTCCAACTCTCTGATGTGTAGCATGTAATTGCAAAGACTATAGCCTGGATCAGGCGCACCTAAGTCTCCAGCCTGACGTTGTTGTTCTTCAGTACTCTTGAGAGGTCCCTCACAGCTGACTGTCCCAATGCAATTCGTCTCCTGATTTCCTGGCTGCTGTTACCAAGATTGTTGACTGTGGAACCAAATAAACTAAAACTGTTAACTATCTCAGTCACTTCACCATCCATACTGATGCTGCCAATTGGCCCAGTGGTGAGAATCTTTTTTTTCTTGATGTTGAGCTTCAATCCATATTGAAGACTGCAGTCCTTGACCCTCTGCAGCAAGCGCTTCAGGTCCTCCTCAGTTTCAGCAAGCAGCATTGTATCATCTGCAAAACGCAGGTTGTTGATGATTCTTCCACCAATCCTGATGCCACATTCCTCCTCGTACTGCCCAGCGTTTCGGATGATCTGTTCTGATACAGATTGAAAAAGTATGGTGACAAAATAAATCCCTGACGGACTCCTTTCTTGATTTTGAACCATCCAGTGTCTCCCTGCCCTGTTCTGACTACTGTCTCTTGGTCCAAGTATAGGTTTTGCATTAGCACAATCAAATATTCTGGGATTTCCATTCTTCTCAGAATCAGCCATATTTTGTTGTGATCCACACAGTCAAGGCCTTTGCATAGTCAATGAAGCACACTACATAATGAATAAGGAAGATTGGTGATGTTGTGGCTATCAGTTGCACTGCCAACCCAAAGGCACATGATTTGACTCCATCCGCTGTTCTGTAAGAGAAAGATGGGCACTCCCCTCCCATGTGATTTACTGTCTGTGAAAACCTGCTGGAGAAACAGCTTTGAGTCAGTTTTCTTTCACTCAGTAGTACACCACAATGAAGATACCAGTGCTTATCAAATAAATGAATCACCTGGTATGGTCTGTACATTATTTAGTTTTTAGTATCGCTATAAACGTGGTCGAATGATAAGAAATTGTGCTGCAGTTCTGAAGGTGCATGTGATTAAACTGCCTCTGAAAACCCACTGGAGTGTCAGCTGTGGGTTGATTCTGACTGTATGGTCCACAACAACAACAAAAATGGAATAAAATTATCATAGTAGATGACTTTAACAAATCTATTATCTCACATTTTAGGAGGCTGAAAGTTCAAATTCAAGCCATAGCTCTTAAAAGCAGGCTTTCTCTGTTGTTTCTGAGGGAAGATATTTTTCTACTTTCAACATCTGAGGCGTCAGTGTCCCTTGGAGATCCCACTGTGTTTCTTGGTATCAATCTTCCCCTGAGTCTAGATGGTTGATAGTGCAGGGATTTTGGATCCTAAAGAATCCCTACGCTCTTACCTTTTATTTCTTTGTAGTTCTGAGGTCCCTCAGATCTATGCTAGCTTGTTTAATCCTTTTGTGACTCAAGAGATTGACTTAAAATACTATTTAACCCTGTAGATTATATCCCACACCAATACCACAACTGCCTTGAATCATGTCTCCTTAACATCATAGTTTATTGTTTATGACACATGGTTAACAACGGATTACAAAACGCAAAATACTAGAAATCCTAGCCTAGTCAAACTTATTTTCTGGGACATAATTCAATCCATAAATTATTTTCATCCTTATCTAGTGTTCTTATTCCATTCAGGGGATTATGTAGGGATTCAATAATATATAATTCAAATTTGAACCTGATCATTTTTTCAACTGGTTAAGCTGTTCACTCACAAAAGATCATCTTGTATATTTTCAAGAGGCAGAGAATTTTTTTTCTTTCCAGATAATGGATAAGTATTCTTGGTGCCACATAGTTATAACACAATCTGCTGGAGAAAGTCTCTGGAGGGTACGGTATGACTAACAGGTGCGATCCTGAAATCCCAGAGCAATTATAAGCAACGTTTTCCCTTACCTTTCTTATCCAGAAGTCAGTAGTAGTGTACAACTAAAACTATGGAGAATTCCGTTACCAAACAAAATAAACCCATTTACTATTGCCTATTAACTTGCTTCAGTCCAATTTCTTCTGATTTATAATATGCACTATATAGATATTTGTGTTCAAAAAGTTCTAGATTTCTCGAGGAACAAAATCTTTCTGCTTCCACCTCAATTTTTACCAGTCTTGTAAAGTGTACACAGCTTCCTTCTTAGACAATGTGGGTGGCCCTGAAAAGAGCCTTTGAAAGTAGAGAACTGCAACTGGAATCCAGTAAAAGACTCACTTGGAGCTGGTGTACTTGGTGACAGCCTTGGTGCCCTCGGACACAGCATGCTTGGCCAGCTCGCCAGGAAGCAGCAGGCGCACGGCCGTCTGAATCTCCCGGGAAGTGATGGTCGAGCGCTTGTTGTAATGTGCCAGGCGGGACGCTTCGCCGGCGATGCGCTCGAAGATGTCGTTGACGAAGGAGTTCATGATGCCCATGGCTTTGGACGAGATGCCGGTGTCTGGATGGACCTGCTTCAGCACTTTGTAGACATAGATAGAGTAGCTCTCTTTGCGGCTGCGCTTGCGCTTCTTTCCGTCTTTCTTCTGCGCCTTGGTAACAGCTTTCTTTGAGCCCTTTTTAGGAGCAGGAGCGGACTTAGCCGGCTCTGGCATGACTGAGGAATAACAACTCGAAGAAACCAACTCAACTGTAAAAGCAACAGTCTGATGGTGGCGGGTTGAAGCAGCTCGCTACTTATAGAGGAGGTATGCAAATAAGGCATTTGACGAGGCCGCACTGTGATTGGAGCATTTTCCCCCGCAGCACTGACGGTGCAAAGATTATGTAAATGACGGATTTAGTCCGAGCTATTCTATTGGTCGACAGGAAAAACTACGCCTTAGCCAATCAAAACAGGCTGTAGGCAGTCGCTGTTCTACGTATAAAAAGGTGAAGCTGCGCTGTTTGTAGACAGCTTGTTGGTGGTCAATTCTACTAGCTCCCGCTTCTTTCTGTCACTGTAGCTGTCATGTCTGGCCGAGGCAAACAAGGAGGTAAGGCTCGTGCTAAGGCTAAGTCGCGCTCCTCCCGCGCTGGCCTGCAGTTTCCGGTGGGCCGTGTTCATCGCCTACTGCGGAAAGGCAACTATGCCGAGCGGGTTGGAGCCGGCGCACCAGTCTATATGGCTGCAGTGCTCGAGTACCTAACGGCGGAAATCCTGGAGCTGGCGGGCAATGCTGCCCGCGACAACAAAAAGACTCGCATCATTCCCCGGCACCTGCAGCTAGCCATTCGGAACGATGAAGAGCTCAACAAGCTGTTGGGCAAAGTCACTATTGCTCAGGGCGGCGTTTTGCCCAACATCCAGGCAGTGTTGCTTCCAAAGAAGACTGAAAGCCACCACAAGGCAAAAGGCAAGTGAGCTGGGCTTTCGGAAGCCTGCTCAGCCGCTCGAGAGATACACCATAAATCAAAAGGCTCTTTTCAGAGCCGCCCACACTGTCAAGGAAAGAGTTGTTAACAATCTATACACTCCTTTTGGCGTTAGTAAATGATAAACGCTTTCCAGTGTAGAGCTGAGACTGGAGTGCCATCTGCTTTGCTCCCCAACTCTGGTCAACGACCGTCTCAACTAAGTGGCATGTTATGGGTGAAGCTTTTCATCCTAAACACAAGTTGAAACAAGACGTCATTCTGGTCTGAGCATTCCTCTGTGTGTACAACTAGTCCCCTGCTGCCTCTTGGCCCACAATTCGTCGGTTGTTAGGTGCTGTCGAGTTGAGTACAAATCAGTAATCGTGTGAATAGACTTGAGTCTTGCTGCAGTCACTGCCAATCCATCTTGTTGAGGGTCTTTCTCTTTCACTGTCCTTCCACTCCAAACAGAATGACCCTCTCCAAGGAATAACCTTTCCTAGCAACATGTCCAAAGCATGCCCAATTCACCGGTAGGACACCAGTTTTAAGGAGTGTAGTGGACCTGAGTCTCAATATAGTTGACCCAGTGTCACTGGGAAGGAGGGAGGGAGGAAAAAGAACAATCCTGTGCCGCAGCAATGTGACTCATTTGAGATTTCAGAGGCAGGCTTAGGCCCTGGGATAGATAATGCTTTTCTCACCAAAAAAACAGCCAGGAGGATACTATTAGTCAAAGTAAATGGAGGGAAGTGCCTGTGAAAGATTAATTAGGCGTATGGGGCAGAGGTGAAGGGGATAAAGGACCCAAAGTTCAGTCCCGAACTAAACAAGTGATGCACAAAGAAAGGGAGGGTGGCAGAGGTAATGTGTTCGTTCCAAATAAGTTGCCACCAAACAATGATGAAGGAAATACAGGAAAAACTTTGCAAACTGCAAAAAGGCGCGCTAAAGGAGAATTCCTTCAGGCGTAGGTGACGTCACAGCCAATCCGTAGTCAGCGCGGGACTTTCAAGTTTCGCCCCGCCCAATCGGGAAGAGGCTGCGCCTATAAAGGGTGCTGCCGCGCTGAGCGCCGCGTTACTCTCAGTGCTGCTGTGTTGGTTAGTTTTCTTTTTGTTTCGCCATGGCCCGTACTAAGCAAACTGCTCGCAAGTCGACCGGTGGCAAGGCCCCGCGAAAGCAGCTGGCTACCAAGGCCGCTCGCAAGAGCGCGCCGGCTACCGGCGGCGTGAAGAAGCCTCACCGCTACCGGCCGGGCACCGTGGCGCTGCGGGAGATCCGGCGCTACCAGAAGTCCACCGAGCTGTTGATCCGCAAGCTGCCGTTCCAGCGGCTGGTGCGCGAGATCGCGCAGGACTTCAAGACCGACCTGCGCTTCCAGAGTTCAGCCGTGATGGCGCTGCAGGAGGCCAGCGAGGCCTACCTGGTGGGGCTGTTTGAAGACACCAACCTGTGCGCCATCCACGCCAAGCGCGTCACCATCATGCCCAAAGACATTCAGCTGGCCCGCCGCATCCGCGGTGAGCGGGCTTAAGCCAAGACTGCGTGCTCCCCTGGAGCTTCCATCGTATCCAAAGGCTCTTTTCAGAGCCACCCATAACGGCACTAGAAAGAGGCTGTGTCACTTAAAAAGTTCTGCTTATCGAGTGAACTTCCCACCGCAGTTGGTGGAGGAGGGTAGAATTCTGGGCGTGGGGTTATGTGAAAGGGCAGTTGGGTCTCGTTTGCTGATCTTTCTCACAGGGGCACTTGGAGCTCTGACAGGGCTGGATTCGACAGGTCGCTAAGCGTGGGTGTGGCCTACGACGGGGTCTTTGAGTGCATTCACCTCGCGCTTGGGTGTTTCTGGGTGTCTCAACTAGTCTAACTTGGTCAGAATTTGTCTAGAATGCCAACTGTTCGTGTAGATAGGAAGCGAACACCAGAGGGAGTGACTGGCCCCAAGTACAGCTGGACAGCTCGTTTTAGAGCTCTGAGCTGAGAATGGTCACTCCACTGCGCTGGTGCCGCCCCCTCTTGTCAATAAGGCAGTTTCTCGGCTTCTTGCGCGATCAGCTGTAGTTGGTGGGGTTAGAGCCCGGCCCGCCTAAGCTTGATCTTAACAGCCCATTTCCTCTGTTTCTAAACGAAACCACGCCCTTCAGGGAGTGTCTGGGCCACTAGATTAGGGCGGTTTGTGTAGATTTTAGTCATAACGCTGTTTCCCGCCCAACATTATGGCTGGAGAAGACTTCTCGCAAAGCGGAAACCTCATATTCCCTCGATTATCTTCATCAGAATTATCCAGCTTTCGCCTACCTGGCACTGACATTTTAAAGAAGAAATTTGAACATTAGCATAGCATGCGCCTCCATTACTGAGGGAGGCTTTAGTGATGATTGCTGGAACGCGAAAAACTAGACCACCCCAGTGTCTGGCAGAGCCCACAGTTCACAGCATTCAGCTACAAGTGGCAGTTACAGTTCTTAGGTGGCACCTCTTAATTCCTGTGTCATCTGTTTGGCTCTGGAAGAGTCCAAAGCTTTTGTTTCGTGCTAACACAATTGACAGCAAAGTAGTATTGTTACATAAATGAGATTAACATAAACAGACGGAAACCTCGTTTTGGAAACCTCTCTCGGGCCCTTCCTGGGAAGTATCAGAAAAGATGAGACAGCGTGGAGGCTCAGAGCCTCTGCCAAATTTCTGCCACATGCTTCTACATCACTGTCACAGTGATGTCCAGAACATTACTTTGTGTACTAGCCTTCGTTCTCCCACCATACTCACAATGCAAGATCTGTGAGAGGTCTGGCTCTGTCCTGAGTTCTGCCGGTTTTAAGTCAAGAGTCATGTGGGAAAGCACTGTTGCACTCAGCATCTTATTTGCCCTCCAGGCAAACTTTTCAGGCTCCCAATCAAGAATGTCTTTTCTCAGGTGCAGCCTGAGTCTGTCAGAAGGTACTGGAGTTAGTGCCTCTACATCTGGCTGCTATGAAGGTTTCACTGCTTTAAATTCACCACTGTGCAGCCCTCATCTGCAGAAAACATCCTCAATGGAATCTAAATATGGAGTTTAGTGGTGTTGTTGATACTGATGAGGAGAAGAAAATGTCAGATTCCTATTACTATGAAAGGATCCATGGTGGCTCAGTGTGAATTGTATTTGGCTGCTAGTCTTTAAACGGTCTGTTATTCTAGTACGATTTATAGATGTGGAACGTGGCCAAGTTAGAATCACTTAGATGGCAATGGCATTACCATGAAGGCCTATCATCCCAGCTTTTCTGTTCCCTGAGAGAACAGCTTAAATTGAGCCCATCAGCACTTGTCAGGTGTGGTTAAGCTGATTTAATTCATGTGACAGAGTAGAACTAACTGCTCTGTGGGGTTTCTGGGCTATTCTCTCTGTGTTTCCTGAGTTTTAATTTTTCCTTCTGTCTCTACTGAGTGGCTGGGTGGGTTCAACAAACTGCTCTTTCTCTTGGGAGCTGAGTGATTAACCATTTGTATTGCTAGGGCTCCTTGAGTGATGACTGTAAGAATACAGTTTAAAATGTATGTTTCAACATCTAATACTTTTCTGTTCTCAAATAATTTTTTAGGGGAGCTCTGGTGGCTTAGTGGCAAAGAATTGTGCCACCAACTCAAAGACAGGTGGTTCGAATCCACCAGCTGCTCCGTAGGAGAAAGATGAGCAGTCTCCTCCCAAGTGATTTAACTGCCTCAGAAAACCCTCTGGAGGACTAGTTCTGACTTGATTATACTCAACAACAACAAATTATTCTTTACTCTCAGATGAGAGATAAAAAAAGAATAATCAAAGAAAAGATAAATACTTTCCTCTAATAATTAACTCGTACATGGCTAGCTTGATTTCAGAAGTCTGCTAACCCTAAGTGTCATGTTTTGATTTGTGTGACCCCAAAATATATGTTTAATTGTGTAAACCATGATTCTCTGTGTTTTAAGATAAATAATTACTGATTATTCAGTAACATTAATCTTAATTGTTGTAAACTCTAATTCCAGAATGAAAGGAAAAGAAAAAAACACTGACACAAAAATATTCATTTTAAACATACTGTCAGAACCTGGGCTCCTAGAAATGTTTGTGACTCACCTTTCACTCATTTTCTCTGGTTTGATTTCACACTGGGAGAGAAAAGCCCCCCCCCCTTCTTTGTTAAATAAATAAAGAACAAAAACCTGGTGTGGAAGAGACAACAGGGAATGTGAATAACAAAGCCAGAATCTTGGTGTTAAGCTTTTACTTTT